TATAGCAGAAAGTCTTCGAATTACTATCTTCCTGTACAGAAAAGGTCACTGAGTGCAAGGGGTTAATTTTTGAACAGTATTGAATATCACTATAAGTTTGCTTCACCTGTGAGAGCTATATTTACAGTAGAATCGATTCGAAATTTTATCAATGACACTAATAAAATAATTTTTTGGTAAATTATTTGATAAAATTTACAAATTTTTGGTTTCTTATATCGATGTTGTAAACATAATAGTGATACACAATAACATATGATAATAACAATTAGAAAAAATAATATTTAAAAAAATTCAAATATAAAATCCATCAAAAATTCCGAAATTTCATTTTTGTTTATTATCAATCTAGTAAATGATCTAATCACTCAATGTCAGTAACGTACCGTAATAAAAATAGCAACAGAGTTGATGTTTTATCAATTTCCATAATGAAACTAAGACCATGTTACCAGAGGATAAAGGAAATTTGCATAAAATTGGAGGCGTGTTAACACGATTACGTGAAGGGGTCAAGAGGTGAATGTAAAATTCCCCTCGGATGAAATTTCACCCCCAAAGTTAATTTTCACGTTATCACGAATCGAGTATCCAAAAACTGCAACGAGCGAACCACTCTTTAACCTCTCGCTCCTTAATAAATTTCCAAAAATGGATAACGAAAATACAAAAATAACATAACTATTCGTGAAGCACCGAGATAAATAATTTATCGTCGATTTTACAGCGATAAAGTTCCGAGTGGACGTATTTCATCAACAAAAAATTCTTCCCATTAATCACGAAGTGTTAAATCTCCGTTAGAGATGCGATCTGGAAACGAAATGGTGGCAAAAACTCCCGGGAAACAGGATGAAGTTAGCACTGAAATTGCTATAAACGAGTTTTTGAAATGTGATAAATAAGTTCGGTTGGAAAATAAACGCCACAAATTAACCGCGGAGCCGGCTAATTGCCATTCGGAGCTGGCGAGATACGGGGCATTAACCCCTTGACTACTGTGGGCGCCTATGGGCGCATAGAAATTTTTCATTTGTGACACGGAGGGCGCCTATGGTGACAAGGAGGACGCCTATGGTGACACGAAGGGCGCCTATGGCCGCTTAGAAATTTTGCGTTTGTGACACGGAGGGCGCCTATGGTGACACGGAGGGCGCCTATGGTGACACGAAGGGCGCCTATGGTGACACGAAGGGCGCCTATGGTGACACGAAGGGCGCCTATGGTGACACGAAGGGCGCCTATGGTGACACGAAGGGCGCCTATGGTGACACGAAGGGCGAATATAGTGACACAGCGTGCGCCTATAGGCGCTCGGCGTAGTTTAGCTTTCTGACACGGAGGGCGCTCGTTTTCACAAAAATGGCGCACATCGTAACTCAATTCCTGCCGTATGGTACAGCCGTTGCGTATCAAAATCTGCCGTAGTCAAGGGTTTAAAACTGGCCGACCTGTGTCGGAAAAATCCCCGTCCGGGCGCGGCCATCGCGTACCGCCAACAAAATGGCTGAATCCAATTGGAAAGTTAAACTTTCGTCGCAAGCCATCCGCGTAAATTCGTTTCATAAAGCCGTAATACCCCCGCGAGCTCATGAAGGCTTCCTTGCTCGTTGCCGTGATGCGACGTGTAATTTTATGGCGGCCATAAAAGGCGTCTCCTGTGGTGCCCGGCTAGGAAGCCGCGTAGCGTTCCGATAACGGAAGAGGCGAGTAGTCGTTGTGGAACGCATGCACCGTCATTTCTGGTCGGTTTCATCGCGCTTCCGTCGCGGATCTGCGTGCAATGGCGGCTCGAATCGCGTCAGTGGAGGGAACAGTATTGCTTGCTGAGAGCGATCGAACAGCTTGTTTCCCCATGCTGCTGGGATGTTGTGAGGGAAACACGAGGTCCATCTATTCGAATGACACGTGGGCTAGTATCAGAGTGTATTCTGTCCTCGGTGATGGAAATATGGCGTTCATGAGCGATTGGGATTGGTGAGGCTATTTGGGATGGAGTCTGTGGGTTTTGAAAAGAGTGCTGATGATTTGGGTTAGGTTCTTGGGTAATGTAGAGGGTCCTGTATCCATGGTGTTGAAGTGTCGGCTAGGTCGCGAGTATTCTTGTTATGATGGTGGTGCTAAAAGGGACGAAAGGATAAGAAGAGATGCGTGTCGTCTTGGGCGTGCTAGTGGACTTATTGGTTAGGCTACCCTAGCAGGCCCTGTCCTAGACGGGGTACTATTGGAAGAGGAAGAGAAGGAAGGGCTTGGTTAACCTCTTAGGTACGATGAGCCACTATAGTGGCTTTCAGAAAATTCATCTGTCTGAAAGACGTGCAACAATTGTAGCCCACTTGCTCATTGTTTAGATTAAATATTCGTCTTCGTATGCGTTGCTTTCACACTTCTTTTGTCTCCACATGAATCCACATCAAGGAAGTTTTGTTTGAAGAGGGACTAGGTGTTTAGATGATTTGAGGAACTATTTTATAGTCTATTATCTAGATAGCTATTATGAAGACTAGAACATGGATTATCTTAAATTTCCTGTCTAGAAAAATATCTACATACATATATGCAAAATGGCCCTCGTATTCATTAAATACTAAATATTTAGAAAAGCAATTCTGAAAAATATAATCTGTCGAACTAACTATGTCCAATTCTTCACGTCATCCTGCTCTGTCAATGGACCTTTAAATCGTAACATGGCGTCACAGAATTATCTCCGAAGAAAAATATTTACATCTAAAATGGTCCTCGTCATATTCATTAAATACTAAATATTTAAAAAAGAAATTCTGAAAAATGTAATCTGTCAAACTGACTATATCCAATTCTTCACGTCATCCTGCTCTGTCAATGGACCTTTAAATCGTAACATGGCATCACAGAATTATCTCGCAAGAAAAATATTTACATCTAAAATGGTCCTCGTCATATTCATTAAATACTAAATATTTAAAAAAGAAATTCTGAAAAATGTAATCTGTCAAACTGACTATATCCAATTCTTCACGTCATCCTGCTCTATCAGTGAACCTTTAAATCGCAAGTTGCATCACACAATTATCTCCCAAGAAAGATATTTACATCTAAAATGATCCTCATCCTATTCATTAAATACTAAATATTTAAAAAAGGAATTCTGAGAAATGTAACCTGTCAAACTAACTATATCCAATTCTTCACGTCATCCTGCTCTATCAGTGAACCTTTAAATCGCAAGCTGCATCACAGAATTATCTCCCTAGAGAAATATTTATCTAAATATTTTTATCCAAAATGGTCGTCATGATTTTCACCAAAGAGAGAAAAGATCTCTAAGAAGTACTATTTTTCCTCGAATTCCCGAATATTTTTGTTCGCTACGCTACCCTATTAGCCTCAGCTCGCTTCGTTTCGTGTACCTTCACGAGCAATTTCTCTATTTGCCGAACAATCAGCGGTGCTCGAACGTAACCGCGCAGAGATACTAATGAAAATCGATACTAATGAAAACGTGATCTCCGAGCAAATTTTTCACATCGACGCTCCACGATGCACGCTTCAATTATGCACGTGACGCGCGAAACGCCCACGCGCAAGCCTAATGGCCCCTAACTCGTGTTCCTCGGCCAAGAAACCTCGCTGGCCTGATTGCGAGCACCAACAAGCGAATCGCGATAAGGCACATGCGAGTTTCGCCAGCAAAGGATGTTTAAACAAAGATATCAAGCTTATCGCTGCAAGTTGATTAAGCCAATGTTAGAGGCGAGTTTTCATTGAGCAGGTAATAGAACAGATGCTACACCGATTGTGCTTTATTAACATCCTCATATCCGAGCTAATTCACCGGGACGATGATCAATCTTGCGTGTAACTGAAGGTGGTTAAACTGTAACTACAGTCGATTGCAAAAATATTCGGACATGGATACAAATTTCACAGTTATTAGCCTGTAACGTACAAAACTAAACGAAGGAAATTCATTGTGACAGAGTACAGCTTCCGAGTAACAAAAACACAGAAATTTGTGCTTATCGCACATGGTTGTTGGAATGAAAATAAATCGATAAATAGTAAAAATAAGTTAACGTTGCTTGAAAAATTCTGTTGATCTCTGTGGATCGGTGGAGACGAAGATTTCTGCTCTGGCAATCTGACAAAGTTCCGTACCTCTTTCATACTGTTAGTATTATCGCCATTATTTTGCTAGTAGTATTAACCCCATACTTTTCCCTGTTATTCAATAACCTTTCCCTATACCATGTTGTTATTTACGTTTGCATCTAGTCTCCGAGTAGCAAATTGCACTGCCTATGCCCACCTCTGTTTCTCCTAACTTTTCGTTTATTCCCATTAGTGAGTTTAAAAAGAGACACAAGTGTCACGGACGATGTCGAATTAGGCGTACAGACGTACACTAATCCGAAGGAACCTAGCCAATGTCTCGTGGATCTTTCTGACGAAGTTCTTGCTCCTTGACATGCGTTAACGTTCGATGGCATATGCCTAGCACCATGGAAACTGTGTCAGCGGTGACTCGGTACGAGCGCGTCTCGTACTAAGCCACGGCAACCCGTTTGCTCCTGTTTTGCAGATAGCGGCAGCGGCATGAACGCACGAGACTGGTTACGAAGTGCCATTCGCAGAGTGTCGCGCGATCCTGAACGATTCGTCAAGATCGCGCCAGACAACTGTCAAACTTTGTGCATGCAGCTCTAGTGTAATAGAGGAAAGGAAAGGAAACGAACAATTCGGAGCACAGAGACCAGAGACAGTGACGATATATCCTACGTAGCACGCGAATAGATGAAAAGTGTACACTTAGTTCGAGCGACCTGTGAAAAGTGAACAGTAGAGGTGAGAGGAGGAGGAAAAGGGGTGGACAATCGAAATGGAGATCGACAACGTGCACAGTGCATGGAATAACCGTAGTTGCATCGGATCGACTGTCATCGGGAGATGCGTGGAAGCGTCGCTCATGTTCCTTCTGGGGCCACATGGAAGGGTGTAACTTGGCTTTCGAGTGGCGCAATATGCACGATGAATCGCCTCAGGGATCATCGACAGCCTAAATATCGCACGAGGATCGCAGAAGCTTAGGGGACACACGGTTGACCCGCGTATTGCGTCATCGAAACGCAAACTTGATGAAAATGGACTCGACGAAACTGGGTGGACCAGCCCCGACCAGCCCAAGGGCTCACTCGCCAGCCTTACCGGCCTATAGCTCCACCACGGGGGACGGTAACATCGATTATATAATCGGAGACTACATGGAGAGACTTGGCACCAGGTTGACCACGCTGGAGAACGAACTGAGGTACGCCTGGAGGGCGTTAGATCTGCTCAGCCAGGAGTACATCAAGATGTGGGAGAGGCTGGAGAAGCTGGAGGGACTGCTTTACGAGCAGCAAACGGTGATCAGTCAATTGATCGAGTTTTACGCGAGTGGTGCCAGTCACGAGACCCCCAACGTGGTTGTAGAGGAGACGTTGGCCAATCAGCAGAGCACCGTCGGCGAGTTGGACGCCATTGCGAAGAGCATAGGCGCCACGATGGCCGCCGAGGAGACGAACGCGATTAGGGAGAAATTGACCCAGCAAGAGATCGCGAGAATGCACGGACTCACGCAGGACAGCACAACTGCTGCCGCGGTAGTTACCGACATACACAGGAACGTGAGGAACCTGGACGCTCTGGAGACTCTCGCGGAAGAGAGTAATATTCCAGATGAGGCGTTCTACAGGAGCTTGAACAACGCGTACAGGGAGGACTTAATCTGCGGCGACACGTCCAGACCAACGTCGCAGCTCGGAATGATTTGGGAGGAAGCGGAAGACGAGGACGTGAACGGGAAGAAAGAGGCGGAGTCGAACATGTTCGACAAGACTATGGAGAGAGAGGAAGAGATGGAGGAATTGACCGCGATGCCGACAAAGGAGGAGTCTCCGGAGTTGGTGACGAAAAAGGAGGACGAAGCGGACGAGGACGAGGACGAGGGCGAAGTGTTCAGCGCGGCTGATTACAAAAGTTACCGGGGGAACACACCTTGCGTCAGCGAGCAAGACCTGGCGCAGCTGTCTAGACTCAGTTCCATTGACCAAGTTGCTCTGGAGAAACTACACGAGCTGGACAGGTTGACCAATAAGTTGCAACAGGACTCTCAGAATTTAATCGAGCTGCAGACGAAACTGATGGACTCTCCGAAGAGGCAATACAGTTCCGAGGCTGAGGCAAAGTTGGCCGAAGAGGCGAGTAGCATAGACGAACAGTTGAGAAAAATCTACGTCGAGAACGACGTGGATAGTTGGACCTTCTCGAAGAGTCCGGGATCCACCGGTAGGTCGATCTCCAGAGTCAGCACCGATAGCGGTTTAGCGACTGACGGTGACTTCACCACTAGGTCAATTTCGCCAAGACTTACATCCACGTCCAGGACGAATTTGGACTCCATCTCGAGTACCTACACTCCACCCAGGCTAGCTAGCTACACCTCGGCTGTGCGCGAGAAGAGCCCAGAGCCGATGATCCAGTTGCCCATAGACGTCGGTAGCTTTGCCAAAGGCTACGCGGAGAACAAAGAATTGACTGACCTGATGGCAGAAAGCTTCGCGGCTGTCACCTGCGCCTCGCCTACCATCTACAGCACCACCACCGACAAAGTTCCGTCTCCTACGCACTCAGCCGGAAGTGTCCATAGCGTGCACAGTGTGCACAGTGTACAGAGCCTTCGAACCAGGCAAGACGGTTATTTCGGTAGCGCGGCTCGATTGAATTTAGAATTTCAAGAGAGCAGAACGCCTCCGAGTCCGTCGCCTAGTTCGCCACCTCCTCCAGCCCCCCGAGACTCGACCGAACCCTTCCTGATGCCAGGACTCGATCAGAGAGAGCTGGACGCGAAACGACCTCAGAGCCCCACGTTCTTGAGGAGCGCGGAGAAACTGGTGACTCTGGAACAGGGTCGCCTAAGTCCACGAACCCCGCATTCGCCTAAATCGCCCCGAGTCTCGCCTAAGCACACAGCCAAGCCCAGCAGCGTGGCCAACATCGTTGCGGCCAAGTCTGATTCCGGCCTATCTTCCATGAGCGGGTGGAGCAGCCTGGACAAGTCCCCGAGCTCTCCGAAAAGTTCCATCAGCAAGATGCTTGCCTCGTACTCGGTAGATCATGCCAGAGCGACCTTAATCCCCAGCACGACGACCGTCAGGTCTACCAGTCCGATCCCACCTCTTCCTGAGACCACTACCACCATCATTACCCAAGAGCCGCTGTACGACACGCCCGAGGGAAGAGACGCTTTCGCGAGTACCACGTCGGTCACTTTCACAGTCACCAGTCACTCCTACACCGCGGCCATAAACCATTTGTCAGGGTACACGTCGATGAAAAGCCCTACCACCAAGGAGGAGTACAGCTTCGTACCTCCTCCGGCACCCATCGCGACCACCTGTCAGAGTCCAAAGAAACGAAGTCGTCAGCAGGCGTTACAGCACACGTACGACACCGTACCCCCTGGGACTACGATCGACTACGTGTACAGGTCGGAGCAGCCGGCAATTTACTCTGTGGCTGGCAGCAATCGGCAGCAGGCCATCACGAGCGTCTACACCAGTAGCGCCGGGGGCTACGGTCCAAAGACCACGACTACGGCTTACTATCCGGACGCAGTGGATCAGAATAACAGCTATCAGGACAATTACACTGCCGTTCAGTACGCGGAACTGAACGCAGTGGCGGCTCACGCGAAGAAGCCTCTCAGGAGTAGCGTATACGCGGACGGTGTCACGAACCACGAGGGCTACAAAACCGCCATGTACCGCACCATGTTCCTTACAGGGAACATCACGGATGCTCTGTCTTATTATCCAACCAGTGCAAATCTACCACGAACGGAGACCAACGAGACTTCGTGGCTAAACTCGATGGAGGATCAGATACCTCACGACTCGACGTCCTCTAGCATCAGATCCCTCACCTCGGATGGCAGCTATGCTCAGAGTCCCTACACTGACAGGAGGTACCCTCAGCCACCGGCATATCAGGCTCATCAGTATCACCACACGTATGCGAATCAGAACTATCCGCAAGCCTATCAGCAACAGTACCAACCGTACAGTCAGAGGCTGACTAGCACCGAGAGCGCACAACTTACAGACGGATACCAAAGACAGTGGCAACGAGAGCATCAGTACATCCAGGATCACGACAGCGCGAGGTTACCTATCGACCAACCGCAGCATCAGCAGAGCGAGTACTACGACGCGTCGAGCGTGATAGTGTCTCAGTCTGGGTACATAAGTATCGCGTCGAACTTGAAAGACCACGAGATAGAGACCACCAAGCCTGGCAAGAAGATACGACGGGGTTCGTCCTTGAAAAATGCGATGAGCTCGATGAGCAACTGGTTGCCTGACTTACACTTGAGCAAGAGGCACAGGAGTCACTCGTTGCCCGGTGGGGTAAGAAGAGAAGACTTAGACATGTCTCAGGAGCAACAGCAGCAGCAGCAGCAGCAGCAGCAGCAGCAGCAGAAGGTTCCTGTGGAAACAGGTGTGACTAGAGGTCGTGGCAGGGGCCAAGCAACTAGGAAAAAGAAGAAGCATACCTTGGTGTCTACCGTGTCCGGGATTCTCCAAAAGGCTACGAGGCGAAGTCATCAGTCCCAGTCGCTGTCTGATCCTGAACAATCGGAGACCGAGTGGAGCAGCGGCAGACAGAGTGGCCTGTCTGAAGACGAGGACAGCGTGATGTCCGACGTGAACCAGGAGCCTCCGTTCTTCGCGAAAGTGAAGACAGCTAGCACGAAACGCAAACAGATATCCCAACCGATTCCTCAGCAACCACAGCCGACCACCCAGCCCTTACCTCCCCAGCAGAAAGACTACATACAGCAGCAACAGCAACAGCAGAACCTACAACAACAACAGCAAGTGCTTCAACAGCAGATCCAACAACACCAAGAGCAGTTGCAGCAACAGGCTCTCCAAGACGGCTGGGGTAAGGAGAAAGATCAGAAGAAGGAACTGGAGCACGAGCTGGCTGAACAAACAGGTGGTTTCGAGGAGGAAACGTCAGGGAAGAGCACGGGTTCCGGATCAGGTGGCTCCTCGATATTCCAAACCGTGGGAGACATCAAACGATCCGCCGGTAGCTCCGACGAGGCACCTAACGAGAAGACTCCGAAGCTCCCACCCGTGACACTGATGGGTGGCGCGAGCATGGAATTCGCGGTGTCCAGGGCACTAGGCAAGTATCGTCAGAGACAATCCTCCACGGTGTCGGATGAGCAGCCTCCGAGCGAGGACGGTAGCACCGAGAAGAAGTCTGACGAGGGCACCATCCCAACTCTGGAGGCCAGCTTCGAATACCCTGAGGACATGTCAGAAAAGAGCGAGAAGAGCGAGAAATCCAGCAGCACTAGGTTACCGGAATTGGTGACCAGCATATCGGAGGAAGCCCCGCCGTCCGAAGGAAGCCCATCCGCGTCAAGCACGAGAGGTCAATCGTCCGGCAGCCGATTCCTGCCGCGGCATCAGCAATCCCTGGAAATTCCATGGACGGGTTCAAGACCGGGCGAATTGGACGAGGACAACCGCAGCACGCATTCCTATCGAAGCACGTCGAGAGTCTCGTCCAGGCGGCAGAGTACAGAGGACTCGATAGACTCCGAGGACGAGTGGTACCGGTACGAGCTGAGGAAGCTGGAAGAACTCGAGAGGCAATCGCAGGTAGAGATAGAGATGGGCGAGGTGCTGGTGGAGGAGCCAGAAGAGGTTGAGCATTACCAGCCGGACGAGACGGTTAAGGAGAAGATGTCGTTCGTGCTGAAGGAACTGAAGATGAAAGCCAGCACTATAACCAAGGAGCAGGTGAAAGAGGACAAAGAAGAGCTACGGACGAGCAAAATTAACGGGACGGTGACGAAGGATCGTCGTGTGGAGGAGCGGGACAAGTTTCGAGACGAGAAGCCCATCCCGAAGCGCAAATCCGCGGAGAGTATCGAAGCTGTGTTCGCGAGAGTGACCGATTACCATACTTGGGCTCACGAGGAGGAGGCGAAGAAGGAGAAACCTCCCTCGTCTATGGAGGAAGGTTCTTCGGGAGAGACCTCTGGTCCCGACAGTCCAGTCCAGTCTATGGACGAGGAGGAGGAGGAGGAATTACCTAAAGACGTCGACGAACAACCATCGAGACGCAGCTCGAGTGGCTCGACCTTTCGTCACGGAGAGAAGATCCATCCTGGCTCTGAACCCCTGTCTCGCGAGGGTAGCGTGAGCGTGCCACCTAGCGAGGTCTCTGTCAGTATCCCGGGTGCCTGGGACTCGGAGAGCACCGTGCTCGAAGGGCTAGAGCGTGACGGAGCTGGTAGCGCGGAAACGGCTACCACGGCGACCTTGAGCCTACCGAAGATCAAAATCGATTCCTCGTCCTGCGGCAGCTCTGACACTACGTTGAAAGAGGGCCAGGTAAGTCCTGGGCCACCTGGATCAAAGTGGAAGCTACTGAAAGCGTTGAAAGAACGAAAGGCGGAAGAGAAGCTGAAGGAGGTCGAGGAGGCCGCCAAGGAGACCACCATTACTCAGGGACCCACGGCAGTGAGTATTATGATAAAGTGAGGACACGAAAACCTTTGTAAGGCGTACTCGAGATTCGGGCATTGGGTCAAATCGTAGGGTTAAGAACTACATAGGTGATTTATGCAATGTGTTTCTCCTTAATCCTTCAGTTACCTTAATTTCTGAGAATGTCAATATGAGCGTGTTCTGTATGCAGGATGTTAATTGTCGATGGTATCTAACGGTATGTTTCAATTAAAAAATCATTCCTTTCATTATATCACACGAATTGGGCATTTAGTTTGGCATGCAAGTACGAATTTTGACAATACTTCTTAATATAGGTTAAAGGTTTCCTGGACAGTAATTATTTTTCTGATTAAATCGGTCTTTTAACATCCTGCATAGAGGTAAGGAAAGAAGCTGAGTGACGTAAGACACGAGATATTACGTACTTTGTTCTGAGAAAGCACAGCGTAGTAATGAAATATGGAAAACGAACCAAATAAGATACAGGAACTTATAGACGAACTTATATCACTCGACTTCTGATGCCAAGGAAACAACGTTTCTTCGAAACCATCTTACCAGGTCAATAGCACCGAACTACTCGATACAGTTATGGTCACGACACGATTCGAAGCTTCTTTTCACCAGCGAGTGTCGAGTACGCTGCGCGCGCACAGGCGGACTGTGGCGCGAGGCAACATTCGAATTTAAGCAGGATTTCCCGCGTAACGTATAACCGCGGTGCCATCCGACATGGCACAACTCATTACAGTCAATACTAATGCTACGATAGGAGAAGGCGGAAGTGAAGCTTTGCCGGACGTATATCACGTCCCCGTGGTCCATTTTCGCGTCGATCGCGAAGAAACGAGCGGATAAAATGGCGCGCAGGACCAAACCACGAACTCGATACATAATAGACAATGGTACTAGTCAATTCAGCAAGTGCAACAAGTCACTGACGCTTGGCCAAGCAATATAACTCGTAGGTGATGGCAATTGGGTGAACGATCCGAGCGGATCGATCGGTGATCGTGATCGACGATTCGATCGATTTCGAGGTCAACGGTAGTAGTTACAGGAATATCCTTATGCGGCGGACACGTCCACGCTAATAAACGAGGCTTACTTAATTAACATAGATCATAGGAGTAATTAGATGGTGCTTTAAATAATCGATACGCTTTAAGGTAGTATTATTAGAAGCCGCGTGCCTGCGCGGTATGACGAGGGAATTCGCGAGACGGGGCTAAGTATTATTCGGTCAATTAACGTTTCCAGGACACGTGGAAACGATAGTCTTTCATAGGTTCCCACGGTGAACGACTGCGCACGAGTTTCTGCGCAGCCAGATTCACGTTCTCTCGTAGCTGTTTTGCCCGCTAGGCACTTCCACGCACACGCGATACAATATCATATACGTAGCGTGCGAACGAGACAAATGCGTGTATTTATACCTAAAGGGAATTAGACTCGCGTGGAAGACTGCTCGCGATGCTTGCGTTTATCGATATAAATCGCAAGAGTCGACACAGTCTGTTCACACGCTCAACCTAATAAACCTAACCTCAATCTAACAGTCGACCATCGAACGTAGCGTTTAAGAAACTTCTACTTACACCCTCACACGTATATACATCTTCTCCATCGACTCATATAGGCTCCACGTTTAGTACGGGAATTAAGGTAACTCAAAGCCACTAGAACTACCAACTATTCCTTCCGAATTAAATTCCTCGGATTTTCGAACAACGTGCGTTAAACGCGCGACCACGCACAACGTTAAGCTGGTGTTGCGGTGAAAAGACGCACTAAAATAAATGGCGGAGATAGAAAGGGTGGGGAGCAGATCGCGCAGGCACGACCGAGAATCTCGTTCATCGTGCACATCGAAATCAATCGCTTCCGAGAAGGCGTGAGAGAACGAACAGAAGCGAAAGAGAAAATAGGTTCACCAACCACCGGTATTTCAATTCATATCGCAAGGAACACGATGATATTTGTCTGATCGACGATACATTCACCGATAGTCAGGGATTTCGTGTTTCGTGCACGAACATTTGCTCATGCAATAAAAAGCATCGCTGACATAATAACCGATGCGGTTTAAATCGGAAATCGGTGTGAACGCGTTTGAATTAATTTGTACAATTTGATAGATAGTAAAAACAAATTAACTGTTGTAATGGAAAACTGTTTTCTTGGGACTTTTGTTACCCGAAAATGTGGATTTCCTTTTTTCAGAATTAATTGACTTTTAAAATGTTACCCGAATATTACATTTCCTCTTTTATAGCTATAGAAGAGTATGTTTTTAAGGAGACCTGGAGAAATGTAACAAAAGTCGTTGGAAAAAATAAAGTATTCCATTGCACCGCGCATTCAAGATAATTGCATAATTATAAATACTTTTTACGAGATGGTTTTAAAAGCTGCTAATTATTCTTTCATGCCGCATAAAGGATAAATGTATATAAAGAATTAAACCTCTTTTGCTGAGGCTTTTATACCCAGTAAAAAAATTAATGTTTAAAATTAACTTCTAAAGACAATGACATGGAAGCATTCATAACAGTCCAGGAGTAAAAAAGTCTCCTTTCCAAGATGCAAAAGTTTAACAAGTCAAAACTTCTGAAGACTTCCAAGAAATCTCGGACTTTCTTTGTTAAAAATAAAGCAGAGAAGAAAGAAAAGAACATTAATGAATCCCTACATTAACAGTCTTTCAATTTTGCCATATTTATCATAACTATGGTATTTGTTATAACTATAAGTTATTGTTCGACATATCAACAATTGGAAGACTTTAAAAAAAAGAGAAACTGCCTAAATTTTGTTTAAAAACAAACTCTACTTTCACTGCACGATTAAACATATCCTCACAAAATGACGAACTAGCGTATAGCGTAATAGTCAAAGGGAATAACAATTTCCAAATCTATTCCATCTTCTAACCTAGTACAAAGGTGAACTTCTCGTCGATCACGTGTTCCTCGCATATTACAGCGCAATATATTCCGTTTCGTCGAGCGTGAAAACGCAAAAGTCGATATCACGCCAAATCACGTGACGAGATATTACGTGGACAATACGTTACACATTTCCTTCCGTTCCATTTTTCCCGCGCGAAATATGAATACCACCGTATTTCATATATTCCACGATCCAACGAATTTGAATTTTCAATTATCTTGAACAAGCATTCGAAATTTCCTAGAGAAATATAATTAGAATTAACAATGAGCAAAATTTGTTCTTACTTTATTGTTTTTGTACTTACATTTTATTCGTGGTGATTAAAGGTGGGTTTTAGTGTGATGATACACAATCCATAGATAAGGTTAACGATTGTCGTCGTGCATCTCGTAGTATTCATAACTAGTATACACTATATACGCTGATAGTATGATAGAAGATAATTACAATCGATAACTGAGCGACGTGATTCCGTGGGTATATCCCTGGAGCGGGAATTGCGCAATACGAAGGAATAGCAAATCGTTGAATATCTATTGGTGTATTTAAAAAAAAAAAAAAGATTAATCGACGAAATATGGTTATTTTTCGTTTAAAATATTTTTTAAATGAAAAATAGTAATAACTTTGAAGAATAGAATAGACAAAATAATTCCTAACCTATTACTACTCGAGACGTAGACGTTTACTTTCGAGACCTCTTTGAAGCACTACGTGAAGTACAACGATACCCTTTGAGAAGTTCCACTTTATCGACAATTTTCTCAAGCAATAATACACACCAACACACTTACATTCTATCGTAATAAATAAGACGCAAAATGTTTACCGAAGCCAAGATGGCTGAAAAATTCGACACGTAAATTCCGATTCGACGTCAATTCCTCTTCTACTGGAAATCTTGCCAGAGATCATTAACCACTTCAACATATTACACGTATCGCGTGCCTCGTTACGTAGCACGCGCTATCTAGGAAGCGAACGGTCAATAATGGAATCCGACAACAGCCGCTCGATTCCGGCTCCATGGCTCGGTATACCCGCGACGTCACACGCTCGTAAACGTTCGGGATAGTAGCTAAGATTTTGCCCACATACCATTTCGTAATCTCGAAACGATCGATCGCGTTCCGTGCACCGATAACCGTTGAGGCATAACACGAGCTCGCAATAGTTTCATAATCGAACGGATAAGCCGGAGACGCAGACACGCCGACAGCCAACGACCATGAATTCGTACGGTTGCACGCGTATACGGTCGATGACGTTCGATCGCATTCGAACGTATATGACACGTAGGTGAACGAACAGGCGTAACACAGTCGCGTCGTACACACGTCCAAAGTATATGCTTCCGTATCTAAAGACTTCGCAGCCGTATAATACTCTTTAATTAAGCTAGCAATTAATTGATCGTGCGTACGTACTTCGGTGTTAGTGTTTTAGGAGAGAGGAGAAAGAAAACCGGGCTTGTACCTGTTTTCGCGATCCGGACGACGCTTCCAGGATAACGACGCCATCGTAGATACTCGTGACTCGAATCTGACTAAACAACTGGCAGCAGTGCCCTTAATTGGTCGGATCCGGAACACGTATCACGCTCGGTCGGTCGATCGATTCTTCTGGTAATTGGCGAGTCGTGCCGGGTGACCGCTTGGTCGCTCGAGACGCGATCCGCCGGTAATGTCAATAGCAGCAAAAAGTCGGGAAGATTGTCGCGGCGCTCGTTCGGAAGTTGTACTCGAGGGGAAAGGGAGGTTACTAAAAGATGGCGTGTGTCCACGTGGCTGGATAATTATCAACCGATCCTTTTCTGTAGATCAGTTATCGAGAGGCGTTGGTGGCCACTTTTAATAGGTGCGTTAGACAGTAAACAGCTTGATGTAGAGAAAGAATTGTGACAACAATAAGAGGGACAAATTTAATGCATAGCAATAAAAGGAATGAAATTCATACGGTATAAATTACGTTACTCATATTATGATATTAATTGAATATATTATCGACTTTTTAGGTTAGTAAATTTATTGGAAATATTATAGAAGATTGAATCC